GAACCCCCGGAAGGAGTCCATTTCAGCCCTATCATTGTATTTCTCTGGGTTTGGGCTTGGGAGGGTGTTTAGTTGAAGCACGTTGGCGTAAACAGATGACGCAGGTGCACTGACCTCGTTCCTGAGCCTGGGAATGTGCACCCACTGCGACCTCCAGCCTGAGGTGTGGCTCAGACAGTCAGTCGCTGTCAGGGCGGCGTGGCTCAGTGTGACCACGCAAGGAAAGAAAAGACAGACACACACTTCCTATATATCATTTGTTCTCCTTCCCATCGTCGCACTGCATCACATTGATGCCACCATTCAAACTAATGTTCTAATTTACAGTTTTGGGGAACTTTGGAGAAAATGGATCAAAACCCCAGGTTACCTGAGATGCTGCAGTTACATGTTTTAAGGGCTCTAAAAAAAATAATATTTTGTCAGAACAAAGTACAATTTTGAAAGGCTTCCTAACAGTTGTAGAAAACAGCCAGCCTCTTTCAGATACACTCATTTCAAGGCTGCTCTTGTGACTAGCTCAGCACACTCTGCAAATACTATCTCATTAAAGATCCGCCCTCCAGGGCCAGCAGCTGTCACGCAGGCTGCTTTCTTCTCATGCAGCGGGGGTGTCCCTGCTGCCTCAAAGAAAGTGGGAAGAAACCACAGCCCACCTGTGTTGAGAGTGTTTTATCCTCACACCACCACAGCTCAGAGCACTGCCAGAACAACTTCTCTATGTATCCAAGGAGGTGCTTAAGCCTTCCCAGTACCAGGAGGCAGGTCCACTCCCAGCTGGCCGGTGCCCTTTCAGTCTCCACCCAGCCCTCCTCTGGGCCCACCCTCTTGTCTCCTTACCCTGTAGCTTTCAGCACCTGGGTGAGGTTAGAGTAAAGCAGAAAACAGCCTGGGCTCCAGCGCAGGTTGGCTGATAGGGCTCTCCTGCCACTGAGGCACTGCCTCCTGGAATGTTCATGAAGAGCTTCACTGGAATTAGGCCTTGGTTTGACTCCTAGTTCTACCTCTTACTGGCTGTGTGACCTAGGGCAAATGATAGTCCCTCTCTGAGCCTCAGTTTCCTTATATGCAAGATGAGGATAATATTACTTACACTTATAGGGTTGTTGTGAGGATAAATGAACTATGTATAGAGAGTGTCTGGGCCTGACCCTCTCAAAAAATGCTTGGGCCCCAGATAGAGACAGTGAGTGACATCAGAAAAGACCTGTAGATTAGATTATAGTCCTGTAGCAATGTTAATTTTCTGATTTTAATCGTTGTTCTGCAGTTATATGAGAAAATGTCTTTGCTCTTAGAAAACACATACTGAAGTATTTAAAGAGGTATTATGTCTACAACTTATTCTCAGACATTTCAGAAAAAAATTATAGGTATTTACAGATATGTGTGTGTATATGGAGAGGGAGAATGAATGTAGCAAGTGTGGTAAAATGTTAACATTTGGGGACTCTGTGTAAAGGGCATATAGGAATTCTTTGTACAAACTTTGCAACTTTTTTTGTAACTCTGAAATTATTTTAAAATAAGTTTTTAAAAAGTTCTGCTCTGCTCTGAGGCCTGTGACTTTATTTGGACTATCAGAGATGACGTTTTGGGCATCTTACGTATGCCTTTTGACCCTAAGGTGATCCATCAGAGCACAGGAAGGATGTAGAGGTTATGGGCAAAACATGGTCTTTGGGTCAGGCTGCCTGGGTTCCAGTCCTGGCCTTGCAGCTTCTAAGGTCCCTGAGCTGTATAAGTAACTACTCAGGATTAAGTTGAAAGCATTTGGTAAGATAAGAGCTGTACATACACACAGTTCCTGGACCATGGTGAACCTCCTGTAAATGTTGTTATTGTTATTCTTGCCTCCTCAGTCATCTTACAAGTGAGAAGTAATGGCCTGTGTGTGGCTTAGAGACACTGATCTTGACACTTGTCTTGGTGCCAACTCCCTGACGTGAGTTTTCGTCCCAATGAAGGCAGGGTGGCTGCTGCAGCGAGTGTGAATGTGCCTGACAAGATGAAGAGCCGAATCCCCGTGGTGCTCCTGGCCTGTGGCTCCTTCAACCCCATCACCAACATGCACCTGCGCTTGTTTGAGGTGGCCAGAGACCACCTTCATCAAACAGGTCAGTCCCGGGGCCCAGGTCCAATGGAAGAACTGGTGGGTTGGGCCTCTTGGGGCTTTGCTGGCTGCTGTCATCATCCCCATTATTAAAACTGTTCAGTTTATTCATTCACAGCATAACTGGTGACATACATTTCCTCCATCATATTCAGAGGGCTAACACCCCTTAGCCGTGTGACATGTGTACAAGTCATATCCCTGGCCATAGAGTTGAAATGCACCTCAGGATCCACTACCTCCCTGTCCACTTCACATTGACCGTTAATGCTAAAAAGACAACTGGGCACGTTATAGAACCTGTGTCTCAATCAGGGCATCCTTCCTGGGGCTCCAGGAAGCATTACCCACACAGCCAGATGAATAGGTAGCATGTACATTTGAGAACTCCTGCTACTCTTCAGTGGGTAAACAAACATTCTATAATGGGGATTCTGACACATTCTCCTTTGAAAGAATAGATCTTAGACAATTACAAATTAACAGACTTGTATATAGGGCATTTCTAATACAGATGGCATGGCTTTGCCAGAAATATTTAATCAGCTGGAAATATTTAATCTGGAAATGTTCCATCTCCTTGACTCTCCATTTCATTATTAAGAGAGTAAAGTGGCATTTGTAATCTGCATGATTATTTCTAAAGAATATAAGTCATTTATTTGTTGATGTCAGATACATATGAAAGTTTTATTCATTACGTATTTATGTATATCTTATGTATCCATATATGTATTTTGTATTTTTGCATTGCTCAAAAATGTTTACTGTTTTTAAACCAAAATCAATTTCTATTTACTTTTAACATAGAAAAAAATATTTGAGTAACATGTAAATCATTTCTTCAGAGAAATTACTTACAAATATTAGTTTATTTTAAAGAAATGTCTTTGTTTACAAAACATTTTTTAATTTCTCAAAAAGTTAAGTATTTATTTTTAGTAAATAAATAGCTCTGACATAGGAATAAAAAATCCAAACAGTTAACTTAAAACTGGTCACTGAGCATTAGTAAGCCATATACCAAAGAAGAAATATAAATGGACAGTGAACTTGAGAAAAGCTGCTCAATGTCACTAATAATCAGTGAAAATGCAAATAAAAATATAAACACCACAAGGTAATAAGCACCATGAGGGCAGCTACCGTGACTGCTTGAACACCACAGAATTGCCACCGTCTGTCACTAGGCTTATAGCTGGTGCTCCATAAATATCCGTTGTGGTAGTAAATAGTTCTAGCCAATGAGATAGGCAAAGATTAAAGATTAAAGATTGTCAAAATTCAGTGCTGGCAGGATAGGGAGGGAAACAAACACTCATGTATTGGTAATGATGGGAAATGATAAAACATTTTTGGAGGGCAACTTGGTTTTCCTTAGAAAAAAGGAACTGAAGTCTACATACACGTCCATAATGAGGAGAAAAATCAATCAGTGGAAGTCGAACCAGAACTGATGCAGATGTTAGAATTAGCAGACTAGGACATTAAAGATTACAATAGTTATGTGACATATGTTCAAAAATTAAGTAGAGACATGGAAAATATTAAAAGGACTCAAATATCTAGACATGAAAACTACAGTAGGTGAGATGAAAAATAAACTGGATAGGATTTACAGCAGATTAGACACTGCAGAAGAAAAGGTTAGTGAACTTGAAGCTATAACAGTCTATCCAAACTGAAATAATCCAAAATGAAACATAAAGAGAAAAAAGAATTTTTAAAAATAAAGAAAAGAATATTGGTGAGATATGAGATCATTTAAATCATCTTAATATACTTGTAACTGAACTCCTAGAAGGAAAAGAAACAAAGAACAGAAAAAATATTTGAAGAAGTAATCACTGAAGTGTTTTCAAATTTGATGAAAACAGATTTAATCAAGTAGCTCAACAAACCCCACGCACAAGAAACATGAAGAAAACAACGCCAAGGTATATGATAATAAGGTTTCTCAAAACCAATAATAAAGAGAAAATCTTAAAGGCAGCTACAGAAGAACAAATAAAGAAGGTAGCAGATTTCTTGTTTCTTAATTCAGCAAAAGGGAATTCAGTGGTACAGATCTTTAAAGTACTGAAAGAAAAAAAACGTGTCAATCTAGGATTCTATATCTGGCAAGAATATCTTTCAAAAACAAAGGCAAAGTAAAGACATTTGCAGATCTACAAAAGCTGAATGATTTCACCACCAGCAAACCTGCACCACAAGAAATACCAAAGTCCTTTAGGCAGAAGGAAGATGATACCAAATGGAAAAATGTATCTACACAAAGGAATACAGAGCATTGATAACCACATGGTCAATTATATATGTTTTTATATTATTTAAATTTCTTTAAAAGATAATTGATCATTTAAACAAAAATAACAATATATTGTGGGGTTTATAACATATGTAGAAGTAAAATATATGACAGCGGTATCAAAAAGACTGGGAGAGGAAAAATAGAAGAATACTACTGTAAGGTTTTTATGCTATACGTGAAGTGTTATAATATCACTTAAAGGTAGACTGTGATAAGTTAAAGATATATATTATAAACCCTAATGCAACCACTAAAATAAAAAAGCAAACAGTTATAACTCATAAGCTTTCAGTGGAGGTAAAACAGAATGAGAATATACTCAGTTAATCTAAGAAGGAAGAAAAAGGGGAACGGGGGACCAAAGAATAGATAGGACAAATAGAAAGCAAATAACAAAATGATAGACTTAAACCTAATCATATCAATAATCACTTTAAATATAAATAGTCTAACAACTTCTGCTAAAAGGCAGGCATTGTCAGATTGGATAAAATAAGCAGGACCCAACTACAATTATTTGATGCCTACCAGAAACATACCAAATATAAAGACACAATTAGGTTCAAAGTAAATGAATAGACAACTATCCCATGCAAACACTAATTAAAAGAAAGCTGAAATAGCTCTAGTGTCAGAGAAAGGAGATTTCAGAGGTAAGAATATTAACAGGAATAAAGGAAGTCATTTCATAATTATAAAGAGGTCAGTTCTTTGAGAGGAAATAATAGTCCTAAACCTTTTTAAAATGTAATAATAGAATATCAAAATACATAAGAATAAAAACGTATAGAACAGCAAGGAGAAATAGACAAATCCACAATTACAGTCTGATATTTTAAGTCTCTTCTCACTAATTGATAGAATAAATATGCAGAAAATTATTAAGGATATAGAAGACTTGAACAACACTATCAACCAGTTCAACTTAGTTGACTTTCATAGACCACTAACCAAACATCAATAGAATACACTTTCCTTTCAAGGGCACGGAGAACATTTACCAAGATAGACTATATTCTGGGCCATAAAAGAAGCTTCAATAAATGTATAAGGCTTGAAATCCTACAAAATGTGTTCTCTGACCACAATGGAATTACATGAGAAATCAATGATAGAAAGATTTCTGGAAGATTCCCCAAATATCAAAATGGAATAACACACTTCTAAAAAACCCATGTGTCACAAAGGAAATCAAGATGGAAATGAGAAAATATTTTGAACTGAATGAAAATTAAAGTCGAATATATTCAAAAATTTGGGTATGTCACTAAAGCAATACTTAGGGGGAATTGTAGCACTGACTAAACACTATATTAGAAAAAAAAGAAAGGTTTTAAATCAATGACTTCAGCTATATTAAGAAATTAGGTATAGAGGAACAAACGAAAAACAAAATAAGCATAAGAAAGGAAATAACGAAGAACAGAGCAGACATCAGTTAAAGAGAAAACAGAAACACTTTACAGAAAATCAGTTGAACCCATAATTGTTTCTTTGAGAAAATCAATAAAAGTTATAAACCTCTAGCCATACTAACAGTAAAATAAAGAGGAAAGACATAAATTACTATTATCAGGAATGAGAGAGGTGACATAACTATAGATTTTGAAAACTTATATAGAAAATATAAGGGAATATTATAAACAACTTTATGCCTACAAATTTGATCATTTTAAAAATTGGAATAGACAAGCGCCTCAAAAGACATGCTACGAAAGCTCATTCAAAAATAGATTTTTTTAAATGAGAAGAAACAAGTAACCTAAATAGCTTTATACCAACAAAAGAGGTTTAATTTGTGATTTAAAAAACATCCCACAAAGGTTCCTGGGAAGATGACAGAGTAGGAAGCCACAGGAATCTGTCTCCCCACCTAAACAATAATTGCACCAACAGAATCTGTCTGATGTAACCATTTTGGAATACTGAAGTCTGTTGAAGACGGACTACGTCCAGCGGAAGACATGGACAGATAAAGTGCAGTTAAGTTTAGTCAACTTCAGCTCTTAGCTCAGTAAGAGCTACCCCTCCCCCACCCCCAGCCACATGGCAGGCAGCTGTGCCCATGTTCCTGGAACAGCCTGCACACAGCTTGTGGGAGCCAGTGTGGGGAAAAGGGCCTCTGTCTTCCGAATATTGGGGATCTGTGCTCTGATCTCTGGTTACCGCCTCTGATTACTGATGTGCAGACGGAGGTGGCCAGCCATTGTTGCGTCTCCTCTCATTGTTGCAAGCCCCTCCCTCTCTGGCTGAAGTAATTTCCAGGGGATTTAAACAATCAGCACGCTTTCCCCTCCCCTCCTTTTCCTCTTTTTCCCCTTTTGGGAGCCAGACATTAAAGACTAGGACATTCAAAATTAACTGCATATATGGGAAAAATTAGAAAGTGACCACACATGCCTGGGGAAAGTCTGAAAAAAGACTGAGAAGACTTTAACTTTATACTTTGGGCTGATCCTCAGCACAAAGACAGCCTACAACCGTCAAAAGAAAAATAAGTAATAACAACAACCAAAAATATCAAACCCTGGGGAAGGAGAATAATCTGATTTCCAGAGTTACCACATCATTAGAGTCAAATGTTGTTTTCAACCAAAAAAATCAGAAGACATATAAAGAAACAGGAATGTGTGGCCCATTCAAAGGGAAAAAAAAATAAATAAACAAAAATCACCCTTGAAAAAGACCTGATG